TCCCAGCATGCCAGCCTACAAGAGGAAATTGTGGACTCCATCATCCCCGCCAGCAGGCTGGCTGCAAAGGCGGTAACCCGGAGGGGGAGCGGCAGGACGCGGCGCCCGAGGTAAAGCAAGGGTTTGCGGAAGCAGTGGAGCGGGACACTTGGCTCGAGCAAAACCGAGATGTGCTAACCAGCCAGGGGGGTTTGTGGTGGCACGAGGGGAAGCTGTACGTGCCCGAAGAGTGCTGACGGGGGGTCATGGAAAGAACCCACGACAGCCGGAACGCGGGGCATTACAGCTTCGTGAAGACGCTCCACTTAATTCGGCAGCAGTTCTGGTGGCCAACGCTCCAGAAGGACGTGGAAGCATACTCGGGGGGTTGCCCGGTGTGCGCAACTGCGAAAGGGGCTAAAGGCAAGCCTAGGGGGCTACTCCAGTCGGTAGTGGATCCCGACAGCCCATGGCAAAAGATCGCCATGGATTTCATAGTGGAGCTCCCGGAGAGTAAGGGGAAGACCGCCATTTGGGTGGTCATGGACTTATTCTCCAAACAAGCGCACTTTGTAGCATGCCGGCAAGTCCCCACGGCGGAGAGATTGGCGAGGCTGTTCGTGCAGCATGTTTACCGGCTGCATGGCGTGCCCCGACAGGTCGTCAGCGATCAGGGCGGCAACTTCATCACGCGGTTCTGGAGGGAGTTCCTGAAGCAGGTGGGGATGCAGCAAGCCCTTTCCTCCGTGGCGCACCCGCAGACAGATGAAGCCACGGAACGCCTGAATGGGGGGCTCGAGTAGTACCTGCGCTGCTACGTGGGACACCAACAGGACGATTGGGCGGAGCTACTGCCATTCGTGGAAGTAGCCTACAATAACGCCGTCCACAAAAGCACCAGCTTTTCCCTGTTCAAAGTAGCCACCGGGAGAGACTTCATCCCTATGCCGGAATTGCCTCAGCCGGCATCCCAAATTGACTCCTTGGACGCCTGGTTCGCCCAAATAGACGCCACCCGGCGGGCGGCGCATGCGGCACTGCAAAGAGCCAAAGCCGACTATAAAAAACACGCAGACCGCAAGAGACTCCCCAAGGGGCAGTGGAAAGTGGGGGACCAGGGGTATTTGTCAACCAAAAACCTAAAGACACACCAGACATTGAAGAAACTCAGCCTGAGATTCGTGGGTCTGTTCCCCATCACAGAGGTCCTCAATCCCATAACCGTCAGGCTGACGCTCCCAAAAAGCCTCGGGAAGATCCACCCGGTGTTCCACTGCAGCCTGCTAAAGCTGCACCAGCTGGGGAACGCCTGGCACATGGTTGGTGGGGAGCAGCACTTCGAGATCAACCAGATACTGGATGCCAGGAGGCACAAGGGGCAGGTCCAGCTCCTGGTGTAGTGGAAGCATTTCTCCAAGTCCCACAGTGAATGGGTAAGCAAAGCCCACATAAAAGCGCCGGACCTAGTGTGGGACTTTTACAACAAATACCCCCGGGAAACCGAAATAAAGTTGGGGGGGGATTTGTTTTCAGGGGGATGGTATGTCAGGTTCGGCCAGGACGGCGCTTCGGGGAAGCTTGCAGCCGCACCGCACGAACTCCGCTGGCGGGGGCTAGCTGAGGAAAAGAGGAACTGAGAGCGCCGCTAATTAATGGGCCACCTGCGCCCAGCCAAACAGGAAAAGCGCAGCAGAAGTTTTAACTTTACACTGATAAACGGCGTGAGCCAACAATGAGTGGGGCCGCAGGCAGCGAAACAAGATCACCACGCAACTCAGAAACCTTGGGGTTTGCACATAACGGGGGGGAACCAACCCACGCCGGAGGGGACTGCCAATCAAGGACAATGGACCCTGGCTGAACCTGCCTTCATGGACAATTAAGGGGGGGCCGATAATCCGCAGCGGTAACACGATCGCGGGGCGAAAAGCGCAGGAAGGGGAGAAGTATAAACGAGTAATGCAAATCTACCAAGCCAGTCCTGCCTTTGCTTGTAACCGCTACGTTACGCATGAGTAAACCTCTTTTGTGAACCACACGTGTCACGGGAGTTTCTCTGTCGAACGGGGCAAATCTTACAACAACACTGTCTGTAAATTTAGGTAGACTTTGACTGATTATCTCACCATTAACTGTATCATGTTTTCTTTTATTTCATTTTTAATACATTTTATTTGCAATTCTGGTCTGTGACTTATAATAAAATATTGATTGATTGACTGATTGATTGATTATGTGATTGACCAAATTGAACTCAATAGAATAATAATGACAAAAGATGAACATGAAGGAGAGGGGTGGTCACATTGTGTTTGTTGACATTCAAGAGTTTATCCTTAGCATGTAAACATAGATTTGCTTATATATCAATATTTATTTATTTATTTATTTATTTATTTATTTATTTACTTATTTATTTACTTAATTATTTACTTTAGCATAATTTTATAGCAACTACTGTATCTATACAACTATGGCTGGGGAATATCGTAAAACATTAAAAAAAGAACCAGTTTTCCAATTATGAAAATCAGCTGGAAAATCACAGTTGAAGTAAAAGCAGTTGCAACTGGTAGATGGCAAAGGGGTCTTCAGTTTGGGGTCTTACTGCCTTTGCATGGATAAATTAAAAGAAGGGAATACAATTCTAGATCTTTCAGTTTTTCCTTTGTCTCAGTTGCTGCTTGTTATTCAGTTCAGGCCTCAATATGATGATATAGCATTTAGGGAAAATGATGCATACAAGGAGCCCCCCACTGGACATTATGATGGAGAAGATCTCCACAGCCACCATATGATTGCCTCCTGTGGTCAGATAGCTTGGAACAAAAGAGAGCCAAACACTGCAAAAGATCAACATGCTGAAGGTGATGAATTTGGCTTCATTAAAAGTGTCAGGTAGTTTGCGGGCAAAGAAAGCTACAGTAAAGCTGACAAGGGCTAGGAGGCACATGAAGCCCAGGACACAGTAGAACATCACAAAGGAGCCTTCATTGCATTCCAGAACAATTTCTTCTGCCATTAAGTGCATGTTGAAATCGGGGAATGGAGGAAAGGTCAACAGCCAGATGGTACAAAGCACTATTTGAATGAAA